CAAAAGACGTCGTATTGACACATATTTTATAAATCAAACGTTATGTTTGATTTATAAACAAACACATGAAACAAATATAATGCATTGCGACATTGAAATAATGAACATGTATTGTTTTTCTTTAACTACTGCGTGCCGTCGTAAGCCAAAAGAGATAGCAATTACATTGGTCTGCGCCAAACACGGGAATTGAAAATACGTAACGTCATCTTAACTGTAACCATTTTACAGTACATCGAGTACATGATATGATTGTCAAAGAGAAGTACATAAAATGTCAAAATAAATGTATTCCAAGTGTTTTATCGAATTATACGCATGAATTGTAATAAAATGGACAAAAACATTGACAGTGCTAACAATTAGGTATTAATAAAAATGCGTCGCTGCAGCATTAAGGCATCCCTTAATAATAATGACACATCTGGCATTAGAAAAAGCGAACATTTTTCTGTTTATAAATCACACATAAGCCCAAATATATCGTGTAATAAGACTTATTTAAGTACCTTACTTATAAATCTTGCCAAATTTTGTTTTGGTTAGTTTAGATTGCCTATTTGTTTATATATTTTGATGTTGTTGTTAATGATTATTTTAAGATGATGTTCTTCTTTATAAGCATACATTTTATCGATATTCTGTTACTAAAACAATACTAGGTTTCTATTATTTTATTACTAATATTATGATTCCTAGTTAGGACAGGATCGGAATGCGTGGAGGGATCAGGGGAAGGCCTTTGCCCAGCAGTGGGATAAATCAGGCTAATTATAATTTCAAGTTTGCTTACAAATGAAAAAAGAAAGAAGGAATGGTTGGAAATCATTGGACTGCTAAAGATAAACATTGGATCAAAGACCAACTACATTTGTTAGCTTCATTTTGAAGAGTCAAAATTTAACAGAACTTTGTATGTAACTAGATTACTTGACAATGCAATGCTATCATTAGGATTTTTATGAACATAAAATTATTTACTAATAAATGGTAATAATTTGGTTTATAAGAATTACGGCATCAAAGGATTCATGTTCAGTTGTATTTCTATTAGTAAAATGTTATTTGTTATTTCTAATCTAAATTAAGTTATTACATGTTATTTTTTAAGTCCAATTAAACCCCTAAATAATTGTTTAGTTTACATTGATTCAAGTTGAGATAATTCTTTTTATACCATAAAATTTCATTCACATACTTATATTGATAATATAAAAAATATATTAAATTCATTTCGGGATGCGTACCCTTTTTCACTTAAGATAAAATTACGAAAACTCGGTGAATATCGATTTATCTGTCCAGCTGTACACTTTTTATACTTATTTTTTTATTTTCAGTTTAGATACAAGTAATTATCTTTTAAGTCGCATGATCAAAAAAATTATATTTCCATATGATAGAGCATAATTTATTTAATCCTTTGTATATATGTATTTATATGAGTCTAATTTGTAAAGTCGGATTTTTTGAATTATACCCTTTTTCACTAGAGCCACAGAAATATTTCCAAATGGAATATCGATTTACTTTAATTAAAAGTTTGCATGTCGATAATTACCTATATGTAAATATGGTACAACTAAAGAAATCCAGCAGACAGGTCCTTTCCTTTTTTTTTCCATCCTTTAAGTGCCAGTGTAAGATTTATAAGACTTTGTCAGAGATGTTAACCATGTTGTCTCCAAATTTGACAAGACGGAAAAAAATGACGTTTGCAAGTTTGCCAGTTTTAAATAGTCGTATATAGTTGTTGTCATTGTCTTCTTGTGGTTGTTGTAGACAGTTTTATACAATTGTGCAAAAAATGTGTGAATAGTGAATGTTACGTTCTAATGACTAATAATTGCATTGTCGCCTTCTTCATAATCTTATTTTGATAGTTGGCCCCTTAGAAGCGAAATCAATTCGTGAAATACAGACGCAACTTAGTCATATTATGAAATAAACTCATAAACTTGATCTAGATATTGTATAATACAATCTATTCATCAATTCAAAGGCTGGTTTCACAGTTGTGCGTGAGGTCCGGACGGACTGTCCGCTTGGGGGCCATCCACAGTGCTCTGAATCGAGAATTTAATTTAGTGCGGATATTCACGAATGACAGTCGCCTACAATGTCGCTTGCGCGGAGTTCACGCGGAGCGTTTTTGGGTTATATTTTGGGGATAAGCACAGCTTTCTTGTAGTTGTGATAAGTAATATTCTCAAATTGTTCAATTTGTCACAAATTTATTTAGATAAAAGTGTGTACCTGGACGGAATTTACACCTATTGGAATATTTTACTATATTAATAATTTATACACTTGCAAATGTAACAACTTCGCAATCACGTTGCTTGTAAGCGGGCAAGACTTTTACGCAACGAACTGTCATTTTACTCAGTCTTGGAGAAAAAATGTGTAGATATGAACCGTTGCCATATTTTTTAAGATCATACATTATATACCTCTCCTTTATAGACGCGTCGTGACATAAGAACTTCACAGCGACGAGTCTTTTCTCCGAGGTAATGGTTCCATTGTACTCCGGCACTCCGTCTGCTTCCGCCACGTACACCTGCGGGATTAGTAGTAATTTACGTATTTATTGTATCTTACATTTTTATATCTGATTAACATACATACTAAAATAGATATATGAACTATTTAGATTCTGACCTTGAGCTGTAATAAAATCTAAAAACATCTGCTTTTGACTGGATATTAGAAGTTATTTTACCCTTAAGTCAAGGTAGATATCTAATTAGTAGCTCAGTGTTAATGCCCTGGTCACGCTAAACAATATTATGATATTCCCTAGTGAAGCGCAGCAGTCTTACTTTCTTTTCATTATTGTTTCCTTTATAGCGGCCACTAGGCTTGTGCCAGTGTCAGTTTGTCCAATAACATTTTTCTATCTACTTTCTTTTTTTCACAGTTCTGTTATATTTGCGTGCGCAAAATTTTACAATTATTTGTGTTTAAATATTGATGGACGTAATAACATAGAAGTAACTGATGGATGTATTACCTTGGAGACCGAAAGTTAAAATTAACTAGGTCGCGACCTGTACAATTGTATTTTTTATGCAGTTTCAAATTTCATGCATTTTCAGTGCAGCTTCGCCCACTGTGCTTCGATAATATCCAGTAGTGCGAAGTATATGGAAAACTTTTATGAGTCGTAATAAAATTATGTAAATCTGTTAACAGAGTAGTACCATCGAATTATTTTTGTTTTCAATTTTGCTTTATCTATACTCAATATTTCTCTACACACGAAAAAGATTACAGGCACATACAGTGTCTATATTTATGGAAAATTATTTATTTTTGTCTATTATCATTATTGTTACTACACTCGTCAAAAATGTCTAAGGATCAAGGTTTTTTTTTATATTTCATTCCCCTATTAATTAAGTAAAAATATGTATATAAATTTAATTATTTATTTTATTTGATAATCATGAAATTGGCCAAAAAAATAGTAATTAAAAAATCTGATTTTCAGTAATTGGCAAAACAGTGTCTGATGCCTAGATACTTTTGATGTTTGTATATAAAATAGGCAACCTTTATAAGGGATTTATAAGGTAAGGTAAACTTACAGTGCCAAAAGCACCCTCGGCTAGTTTGGAGATCATCCTCAGTCTGTGCCTCGGGAACTCGATGACGTTAGTAGTTTCTAACCGCCGCTTCAGATCTAGAAATACTTCGTGTTGACTCGGTGACTGCAATGAAGGAACAACATGTTAAATTATAAAATTGAGCCATTTTTTATAATACGAAGGGACGGGACGAGCAAGTCGTGCGCCTGATGGTAAGCTACACGCCTGTCCATATCAGTTGCAATGCCATTCAGAGCTTTAAATTGCAAAGATTTGAGCGGCACTTCCACTGCGCCCGTCATCCTGAGACATAAGTTGACAAGTCCCATGTACCTGTAATTTCATCAGCACCCTTACCATTCGAAACCGAATCACAGTGATGCTGACATTACTGCTTGGCGGCAGAAATAGTTAAGGTTTAAACAATTTATGTTCGAAGCATAAATTTTTTATGTCGAAAATCGAATTCGTGGCTTTAAAGGGCTTTGCAACGGTAAAGAGTTAGGTTGTCGTTCGTAATAGGTCTGAATCTGCCGAGAGCCTGCTTACCCGAGTGCTGTGTTTGGATCGCAGGGAAGCAGGCGTGGAACGGCGCGCGTCCAAATCGAGTTTGTCCACGTGGTCGGAGGCAAGCTCGGTGACTCGATCTGACAGGCTGTTGGCCAGCCGCCGCTTCGTCAGCAGCGGCGCCGAACTCAGCTCTGGCACCGCGTAGTCGTAGTTTGAACTATCTGCATATACAAATCACATAATATACGTCATATTAGGTATTACTTTAATTTTGTTTCTGAATTGAGACAACTTAGATGGTTTCAATTTCGGAATGCTTTCCACACTCAGTCGCACAATAATTACATAAACTGTCCGTTTCGAATACTACCAGTTTGAACGCTATCCAAATGACATATGGTCCAATTTACAACAAAGGAATTTGACAATGTAACTTTAACTGTGGTCCCTTTTACTGGATTACTAGTTACATTGAGATACCTGGCATCCTATATTACAAGCTTACGCTTAGTTTAGGTGCCAATCTCTTACGAACATAATGTAGAACAGATTTTACTACAGGCTTCTAATTTTGTACATGTATAATAGTTATGTTTGTGGAGAAAATAAACGTATATTATAATTATTTATTGAAAACCATAGTGCATTCAAACAGTGTCAAAAATCATCTAATGAAATTGAAACAGGATCAAAATCGGGTGATATTGTATTTAGGTGCATATTGGCTGAACTTATACTTACCTGAGAGCGCGGTATTAGAATCTTTAACAAAGTCTTTCATCTCGAGCAGTACAGTACTATAGCTAAAATACGGTGCACACTTGAGAGCCTGGTATGGCTCTTGATATTCATCGGACTTAACATCTAGGGCGCAGTCTATGTTCATCTTGTTGTCAGGTAGTATCGAAGTGCCGCAGCGGCTGTAGCTGTCCACCGCGCGTTTCTGCGTCACCGTCGACTTAGCCAGAGACGACGCAAAGCATTTCCTATGCCTATGTCTGTGCACTATTAGGAACACAGCCACCACAAGAAGTATCACCAACGCGGTAAGCACTCCCACAACTATGGCTAAGTACAACGGGTCATCGTGGTGCGCCGTCGATATGGGCACTTCTTTGTTCGTCGTAATTTTCATTTTGTCTTTGCCACCTAGCGGCTTTAAGCTCTCTGGTGTATAATTTCCCTGAGCAATATCTACAAGCGAAACAAGTTAAGTCAGTAATATTTAAAATTTAGTTGTAGAATACATTAACGAATAATTTGGAATAAGGCAAGAACTGACCGGAGTCAAAGACGATTTCGCTGATGAGTATCCACCTCGCAGCGAAGCGCAACTCGATGCGCACCCACTTGCCTATACGGTGATGCAGTTTAATAGTCACGTTACGGGAGTTCTCGAAAATGTTATCCTCAATGTGCGTGTACCGGATAGGCTCATCTTGGAAATGACGACCACCAATGGAAAACGATATTATTGCCTCAGAGAAGACCTGAAACGAAGATTTATAGTCATATAATTTCATGATGTCAATCACACTGCTTTTTAAACATTTCGCAATGGGTACCTGGACATCTCTCATAAATCGATTGTTGCAGTATAGGTGCACGGCGCTAAACTCCCGAACTTTGTCAAACTCGAAAGTTATTACGGGCGGAGTAGGCCAGGAGTCGTTCCTCCAACCGACCCACGGCGAGTTCTTGGTGGCCTCCCGGATGTCGTCACCACCGAACTGTCCATCAACCAGTTGCCCCAGACCTCCCCGAAGTTCGTCTCCCCATTGCCCGTCGTAGATAGTGTCGGTCAATTCGATGCCATTGTTTCTTTTGTTTCCTTTCGGCATTGAGTACGCGACGATACCAACTATGAATTGAAAAATTAATAATATCAGCATCTGGAACTGCGTACATCTTTAGGAAATCCACGTAATTTTGGGAACGAAATTTGGTTTTACCACAGACAGGCGAGCAAATCTTACACCTACTTGTATATTTTTTTAAATTAAAATATAGGCATTGCAGTTTAGTGCAAGGAATGAGAGTCGAGACATAATAAATAATAGATCACACGTTAGGATATTAAGCTCCATACATAGATTACGTGACACATTAGGCGAGGTCCACTAAGTGTGACATGATCTGAGAAGGGGGAAGAAATCATAAACTTTGCGACATCACATTTATTACAAAATACGGAACAGCTAAAAAAGTCAGTGTTTTTTTAGCGTAGTCGTGCTCAGAATTACAAATCGTTGCTTTCAATTGGAAGGTTACATTTCTAGACTGTTTTGCTACTTTGCACGATGTATAATACTTCGGTGTTCTTTTAAAATTGCAAAACCAGTGATGTTGTGATAAGAAATGTGAAGTGTATATATTGCAGTACGGCTAGCACGACAGGGTGCGACATAACGCTCGAGAGGTTGCTTTTCTCGCATAGAGAATAACAACGCTTTTATGTCGCTCTCGCGCCTTGTCGTGCTATCCCTACAGTTTCTTATTGAATCACCAACCGGTAACCGACAGATTTTCCATTTTACTTGCGCCGTCACACCCCTATGAATTGATTAATGGATTCTATTCCACAAGACAAACATAATTGACAGCAATATCCATATACATGTAGGAGCAAAGTACTTGTAGTAACGATATTTTATAAACAAAGACATTTTCAAAATAGATAGTCCATACGTCTCTGTGCGTAACAATGAAAAAGCATTATGCGAAAAAACGTAACGACGCACAAATTCTTGGACATAGGAAGAACTTGTGGAGTATCATATAATAAACATAAACATTTTATTTTTTATCTCGAAATGTAGAAAAATGTAATGTGTATGGTTTATTTACAGTATAGGTCCAATCATTCTCTATCGAGAAAAAATAATCCATCTGCAGGTACTTGCAGTTTTACGAGCAAAAAGGTGGCAAATTTATAGATTTGTTATTTATTTTTTAACACAATATACTAGTTTCTACTCAATTTTCGTGTTATTGTTATAACACTCTAAACTACACTAAAATTACATTTTCTTTAGTAGAAGCTCATGCATTTTGTTAAAATAATACATAAAAAAAGTTGGCAATTTTGCTGCACCTACAAAGCCGCAAGTACATGCAGACGGATTTTTTTTCTACATTTTTTGGAACTTATTGGAACGGAAAATGATTGGAACTATACTATAAATAACCCACGCACATTACATTTTCATATATTTTGAGATAAAAAATAAAATGTATATATTCCATACAAAAATTAGTTTTCAAGAAATTATACAAGAATAAAAGTTGTTAGGAATGTTATTATCTATAACATAAAAAAAAAATTTAGCTCGATACTCCACAAGTCATTCCTATGCTCAAGAATTATGAATTTGGGCCACTGTGCGCCGTGGACCCACCACACCATCCTCTGCAGAATAACTACCACTCAAAAGTTGATACATTTTAATTTAATGCTAATACTAAATACATAGGCTTTTACATATTCGAAAGCTTGTCTCTGCAATCATGTCAAGGGCCTGTTTTATTTTATGCGCGTATAAGTAAATAATGTTCTCGTATACGGCTCAAGCAATCTTGCAGAAAGCCATTTAGATAGTAGGTACTCGTGTGGATTTCGACTTAATTAGCTTAACGTCGTGCTATGAGTCATTATCACCAACGGTTATCTATTCGAAATAATTGACACTATTTGCAGTGGAGAGAGTATACGGTACATTTATACAAGTGTTATTTCTATTTAAGATGATGAAAAATGCTCTATGATAAAAATACGGATGGCTGGTATGAGATTATAATATTATAAGAATATAGCAATTTGAATCCGGTATGAGAAATTTCAGTGCAAAGGTTGTATTTCCAACTCATCTATTTGATACACTGCATATTAATTTTTCAACTAGATATCTGTCCAAATTTTTCTGATGGACAGTGTATGAAATCTGTCCATTTAAAATAGTACTTTCTGGATTTTGAACTTTTTTAAAGGAACGACAATTTTCTCTCATTCTATACAGTACAATTTTAAAAATGCAAAACATTTACTAAGCGATTTTAAATTCTTAGAAGTTATCGCTAAGTCGCAGTGCATGCAAGGTGTTATTAACTAAGGAATGGCTAGTTATAGGGGTTAATCGCACGTTTACGCCGTCGTGTATGTTCGATTCATTGTACGTTTACGTTATACGTACCTTAAGTGTTTCTTGTGAATTGTTAGGAATTGTACGAAAAGCATGTTGTTACATTTAGTAGAAGATTATTTTATAATAAATTTTAAATTGACTATAATTAATATTTAACAAATTTTCCTGAAGAATATAACGATCATCAAAGTGCATAAATGTTGTAAATGCTCGTACTTGATTTAGTAAAGTTTGCAAGAATTCTGTGTTATTTTATTAGCGTCATTGATATTTTTTGTTTTGCCTAAAAAATTAAGTAACTGTTCGATACAGTCTTTCAAAATAAAATTTATTTAGAATAGTCATGGATAAGTGCGCAATTCCATAATGTTATATTACGAATTTTATCATAACATTGATTGTTTCCAGATCAGAAAGCAAAACATGCCAGGTTGTCCATTAATGTGCAAGCAATCCGAGCAGGTGCCGGTTACAATAATGCGTACAGAATATAAATAAAATGAGTTGACTCATCACATCAAGCTTCTCATGCGAATACCTTGAAATTCAATAAAGTCGGAAGAGACTCAATATTTATAGCGAAAACCCGTCAGTGGTGATATTTCAATTTCCGTCAAAACGATCACACGTCCAATGAATACTAGTGTATAAGATGTTATCTTGGGACGGATTGCATTTAGTGCCACGTTAAATGTAAAAATACAGTAGTTTGCAAGTTTTTATCATATTTCCACACTAGTGGTGCTGCAAGTGTAGCTGGTGCCTGCGACTTCGTCTGCGTAGAATAAGTACTTCGAGTAATCTACTGTACTACATTAATTTACATTGTTTTATTGGTTTTCCATACAAAGTACCATCCCCTAGGTCCCCCACCCCTTTAAGCTTTATTTTTATGACAACAAGCGGCCTATGTCCTTCTCCTAGATCCTTTCTATGTCTATACCAGAATTCATCGAAATTGGTTCATTGGTTCAGGCGTGAAAACGTAACAAACAGACGGGATTACTTTCGTATTTATAAGTTTGGATAGGGTTTTAAAAGCAATTTCATTTTTTATGTTAACAAAAGTTAATTTTTATGTTAACAAAAGTTTGTAGCGTTATTCCATCGCGCAAATGTGACTTATTTTATTAGACAAAGCTAGTTCCTCTGTTCTTTTACTACTTTCCTTGTCATAGACTTTCAATCGTTATCAAAGGTAATTCAAAACATTGTGAAAATAATGTAATATTTGTTATAAACATCATACGGTTTTAGTTGTGACAAAGACTGAAGAATTTAGCAAAGGAAACAAAGACTTATATTATTAGTGGAGAGAACACAGAAGAGACGAAGCGGCAAATATAATTTTGAGTAGGATATTGCGGTTGTAACATTATTTCCATCCACAGCGGCGGGCAGCCCGCCACTCGAGGTTGAAACTTTAATGTGAAGGAGCTGACACGAGGTCCGTTATTAGGTTATAAAGCGGGGAAGCAAAAGACATTTGCAGCCTATGATATTATAATTCGATTGAAACTGCAAATGTGCCCACACTCTCGAGATCGAAATTGTAAGTATGTAAGTTTTGTAATTTTAAGTAACAATATGACTATTTTGTCTCGCTTTTTATTTTGAATCATTTCGGGATTTCGGTGAGAGGTATTTTCCATTCTGTCTATATTATCTTGAGTTCAGATAAATCTCTGCTTATTCCGATTTGTGCTAACAATAAAATAATACATGCTGTATTAGTGCGTAATGAGCAAAAGATAAAGTAATACTTACCACTCCAAATGCAGCCATAAAGTTCGACTCGCATGCAGACGGTGCGACGATGCGAGCTATACGGTATGACGCGAATCTTCGATGCCCAAATCGGAGGCTCCAGGTGGTTCTTTTTCTCAAGATATGTATTTGTGTTACCTTGTAGAACCTGTAGAAGAACATCATTCTATCTGTATACGAATTTCTGTACTTAAATTGTAATTTTAAAAAACGTACTTCTAAATCAGCTTACAGAGTTATTTGTAAAATACTAACGATATTACTGCTAAAAAGACATGGAACAAAAGATGCTGTTTACGATGTTAGCAATATGGTCCTGCGAAGTTGTAAGAATTTTACATTTTTTTACAAATAAACCTGTATATTATCCAATATAGATATTTTTCATTTAATTTCATCTAGTGAATAATCACGAAGGATCGGTCCGAAATATCGAGGTACTCGTGGTTATAATAAGTCATATCGTGGTAACATATAACCAATGACAATTATTTACATACATCCGACTATGACCACGTGTATATAACATGTCCTCTATTACCCTCTACCTGAAGGAGCCCTTTGCACGGTTTAATTACAAATTCAATAGATACCTTATTCCGTGCGGAATATTATTATAATAATAGGGGTTAAAGTATGAAATTGCCGATTTGTACTGAAAATCTAAATTGTTTATTTTTTAAATTTTTAACAAATTTATTTAATCAAAATAGTTGCCATTATTATCTATACATTGCTGCCATCTAATGGGAAGGTTATCAATGCCTTTGCGATAGAACTCCGACGATCTAGACTGCACAAACTGTGTGAAAGCATTTTGTACTGCCTCCTGGGAAGAAAACTTCTTGTCACATAGATAATTGTCCAAATCATGAAAAAAATGGTAGTCCGTTGGAGCAAGGTCTGGTGAATACGGAGGATGACGAATGGTTTCTAACTGCAGTTCCTGAAGGGTCAAAATGGTTTCTCGTGCTGTGTGAGGTCTCGCGTTGTCGTGGAGCAATTATGGTGAAGATCGATTCATGAGTCGGGGCTGTTTTACTGCTAGTTTTGTCAACATGGTTCGGAGTTCGGCACAATAGACATCTGCCGTTATTGCTTGACCAGATCGGAGAAAACTATAGTGAATAACACCATGCTGAGACCACCAAACAGTTACCATTACCTTTTTATTGGTAAGTTTTGCTTTAGGACACTGTTGTGGCATTTGACCTGGGGTCAGCCATTGCATTTTTCTTTTCCGGTTATCATAAAGTATCCACTTTTCATCACATGTTACAATTCGATCCAATATTCCTTCATTTCTGTACCGGTTCAACAAGGCAACACAAGTTTCAACACGCCTTTCTTTCTGCAGATCAGTCAAATCATGAGGCACCCATTTTTCGTATTTTTTTATTTTATTGATTTGACGCAAGTGAGTCAATATTGTGGGTAAGGTAACGTTAAACCATGCCGCTAATTCCTGGGTAGTTTGACTAGGATCGGCTTCCACTATCTCTCTTAATTCATCGTTATTCACCTGTGTGGGCGGTCTTCCTCGTGACTCGTTCTTTAAGTCGAAATTTCTATCACGAAAGCGTTTAAACCAAAATCGCACGGTGCGTTCATTAGTAGACCCCTCTCCAAACGCAGCATTGATATTGCGGGCTGTTTCTGCCGCGTTAGTTCCGCGTCGGAACTCGTATACAAAAATCACTCGAATTTTCGCAGTATCCATCTTTCTTGTCTAAATTGAATAACAAAAACAATTGAAAGTCGATATTCAAATGTTTCAAATTTAAAAAAAAATAAAAATCACAGAAACCATTTGAAAAAAGTTTCATTCGAAAACCTCAAACCATGAAGATCCTATGAAAATTCAAAGAACCTATTGCAATAAAACGGCAATTTCACACTTTAACCCCTAATATTAATATAGCACAGGCAACCAAGTACACGAAATGTATTAAGTACCTTCTTATTAAATCAGGGGAACGTTGACTCAAACATCCCGACTACGAAGTAAATAGTTATACCTTACAGCTCACTTACAACCACCTACCATAAGGCAAACTTTTAAGTTTTATATGTATAGGGCGTAGCTAATTACATAATGTAAAGCAGAATCTAACTTTTTAACGAATTAATAACATAGTATAATAAAATAAGATCAGTAGTGTAACTACATGAACGTAACTGCGCGGCTTGAATGTAAAGGCGCCCGCCAGGAGCCTTGTTCGGACGTAAATTCGCGTAATCTCACGGTGCATTCGTGTTGCATAGTGCGGGTCGTCACGGTCGTCTCACGCGTCATTAATTGTAGAATGAGTTCTCTTGGCCACGTGTAATCGTACGTCAAAAGTGCTTTTATCACATAGAAGTCATGAAAATATTACGAAACTAATTCTGTATATGTGAAATTTTATAACTCTCCTATTTAATCATAAAAAGTTATCGACTCATTTAGTTCGAAGAATCTTTAAACCTTTCACCTGAAAAGTTGTCATTTTGCAGATGATGCCTTTTTACAAAGTTGCTAATTGAAGCGTTCATTCGGTGGTTTTTAAAAATAACACTTTTTTTTTATAATACCAAGTCACATAACAGTTGCAGTGCTACTCAGAGTTTTAAATCGCAAAGATCTTAGGGGCACTGCCACTGCGACATAAATAAGTTGACAACTCCCATGTGTCTGTAATTTCACCAGCACCCTTACCCTTCTAAATCAGAAACGCAGTAACGCTCACGTTACTGCTTGGCGGCAGAAATACCCAGACAAGGAGGCAGTACTTCCATGGACGAACTCTTTCACAAGGAGCTCTACTGCTACTAAAACTAAAGCTACATAAAATGGTAGACATGTTTATTGCTTGTTAGAGTTTGTTTGAAAAAGAGTGCCTCAAATTTAGAATTGTTCAGCATTTTATTTTTTATTTCATAATCATACTCCCATTATCGTGATGCCAAACCGCGATTATGGTATAAAAATATCAACACGTAAGTACTACATAATTAAATGGTTATTTAAATATAGCACGAGAATACTGTGATGAACACCTTAATTTTTTTCAAATTATGTTTACACTACACACTAAAATAATAATGTGCTAACTCATATCATAAAAATCATAGAAAAAAGCCTCCTTTTTTTTGCTACGTTAGAGTCCAAGAACGATAGTCGCACTTGTATTGGTGATGTTTATATCATCATTAAGTCTTATTTTAATCAATTTTCAATTTTCTGTTTATCGTAATCATTCTTTTTTTTTGTTACAGGAACGAAAGTAAACCTTATACCGCTGCAATATGGTAGCTTCTTTTTTGGACAACTATGTAAACACTTCCAATTCGTCGTGGTTCAGCTAATGACCGATAGATGGCAACACATTGATTAACATTTCAATATAAAATCAAACTTTCATAACTCGCAATAATAGGTATTGAACTTTCAATGATATGCATATAAGTAAAGTTTGAACTATATTAACAGTCCAGAATTTATTTTCTTTTAAATCAGAAACTACGACCGTTCGTTATCAAGATTTCATAGTGTTTCAAATTATCAATGTGTGAGTTTTGGCGACAGCGCTTCTGATAGTAATCGAGGCTTAAGGCACTTCCATTGTTTTTTTTCTTCCATGAATACTATCTCTTATCTTGTAAATAAATATTAATTCTTTTGCATTTTTACCTTAAATTCTGCAGTTTATGTGTGATTTAATATTAAATAGTCGACTTGTTAGATTAACGAACGTCTTCCCTCCGACTTGGGTACCGAAACTTTTAACGATGCGCAGTTTGTACGCATCCTATGCTCGCAAACGAATGTGAAGTATACAAACTGTAGCTTTTAAAGCATTACTAGACTTGAAGACGCTGCGTGTACACCGTTATTTACTGTTTACACGTAGATACCATACAATCGTTGGTACGCAAACGAATTAGTAGAAAGGTAGTTGAAGTTAAAGGCAAAGGAAAAACACAAACATCAACCCGCTTTTTCATCTAGATAATTTCGTAATTGAATAAAAGTCCTGTAACTTGTGAAACTCGCAATACACTTGCGACAACTTTATTAACTAAATTTGGAAATACACTTGCGCCACAGCAATTACCAACAAATGAACGTCGGGTCCGCGCTAAAAGTGTCCGAACCAATAGGGCATTAAACACCAAAAAGAGCTTCAAGCGCGCGTCAGTCTTCGTTTGGTTGACCGACGCCGACGACGGCGCGCCTTGTCAATCACGCCGTACTGCATATTAATAATCTGAGTACAGAGTACTAAAAAAACCGACCTCAAAACTCATTCATCCTCTAGTTTGCCACCCTTAAAGGTGGAATATTTTCTTAAAATTTAAATTTGGTTTTAAAAATTGAATCATCAAAATCAGTTCACAAATCCGGAGTTATCGCGTAACATACATAAAAAACCACAGTCGGATTGAGAAGCTCCTCCTTTTTTTTTAAAGTCGGTTAAAAATTTGTAAAAATTACTCAAGTGAAACGAAAGACTTGTTATATTGTGTTACCTTCAATTATCATTTAAAAGTGTTATTTGTACAGTACTATAGTTCTTAATTTACATATAAATTAATCATAAATATAAACTGCAATGGCAATCAAAATAATCAGAATAGTAGTTAATTGCTAGCTGTCTTTTTCCAATGTATGGCATGCGCAAAAGACAGAAATATACCCATTACGTCAATTTCTGTAATTCGAATCAGAAGCGATTGAAACATTTATACACTCTTTACAGACTCGCTTTGACGTTAATCTTATTTTTAAAATGATTTTTTATTAAATGTTAGTAATGACTAACAAAATATTGTTATACTCTGTTTACAAGAAATAACGTTTTTTTAGGAATATCATAAAGCAAACCTATGCTAACCTAATTTTTTCCTAAAATTCCAATTCTAAAATTCCATGAAAGCATAACGGTTTTATTATAAATCGATTATGAAAATGTGAGTTTACGTGTCATTGGAATAATATAATATATTATATACATACATATACTTAATATAGTAAATTGTAGGGCCTTTATTTTGATATTTTCATATGTAATATGCATGTCACTACCTTTGTAAAGGTTCACTCCGTACAGTTTTTTCGTAAGTTTTTTTATTAGATCTGCCGTCCATTTGTTGGTATGGCCACAGCATTGGCACACTCTGGACACTCCATATAACGGACGAAAGTTAGTTACCTACTACTACTACTACTACATACAGCGGGGCGCAAATGTGTGCGTGAAGCGGCAGGGTTACTCATCACTATCACGTCCTATTGCGTACTATTACGTCTGTGGTCAGAGGCGGCAACATAGCGAAAATTCTAACGCGATAACAGTATCGCGTATCTATAATTCTATTAATAGAATCCTAATTATTACACATGTTCATTAGGTATTTATATCGATATATATTTTTCATTAATTCACTAACTAAAATAATATTGAAGATTTATTTAAAAAATATATAAGCCTTTAAAATGTAATGTAATTACTTAATGTTTAAATAAGGTAACCAAGGTATTTGAAATTGCGTGTCTAAATTTATCATTACCTAGTTAATAACTAGGTAAATTCACTACGTAATATGTATCGGCAACACAAATTGAAAATTCGAGAAGCCTTGTCTACTAGCTCACGAAGTTATGGCGTCCAATTATATAGATATAATAAACCTGTATTATGTATTACTCTGCACTAAATAAATGAAGAAAACAATAACTGAATGAGTCTCAGACAAGTTCTTTTTTTACTTTTTTTTCATCTTTCTGAAAACGAAAGTAACTCCTCTCTTTATCACGTTTACTTGATGATAAACAGCCGTACACAGCACAAATTCACAACCATTATAAATAGTAAAGTACAATAATGTTATATATTAACGTACAAGTTTCGTAATGAATAAATTAAACACTATATTTAAATAATCAAAGCCATCTTAGCGCGAAAACAGCTCGCTGACAGCCTTATTGCCGTTCAGTCAATGTGGCCATCAACGTGCGGGGTGTGGTGCGGTATCTAAAGTTAGAGAGGGGCGGAGAGTGTCCGTTCTCGTTACTTTTTTGTTCTCTGGCATTGGACAGTTTTAGGTCCTACCTGGTAAATGAATTTCTATAATGGTAGTCAGTGTAAAGGTTACTTTAGGGGTCACTTGTTTGCTTAATTCTTTGTTAGGTTAGGTTAAATTGTGATTCGTATACCTAATTAGCACAAGGAATAAAAAGTATTTTAACTAAGAATTACAATTATCACAAGCTTTTCAAGAAAAGCGGCCCTAACCAAAAGAGTAAATAAATAGTATGACTTGTTATTGTACAGTATTTCCAAATACGTACCAAAAGATATTTTGATTAAGACGCCGAGTCTCCCATTGGATAAAATAATGAAGTGATTACATTGTGCCAGCATATAATTCGTCTTTGCACGCCAGTAGGTCTAGTACGTCTCAAGGAGCGACTTATGCGCGCGCGGGATCTCTATGCGAGAACAGCAATATCTCGCACTTTATGTCGCTCTTGCGCAAGTCGCGACCTGTCGTGCTAGCTCTACAGATCACCATTGTTTTTAAACCATATCCCTTGAGAAAGAGGTGCGTTTTAAAATGGCCACTGTTCTAGAAAGCTATCGCATAATTTCTAATTCATTATAAAAAGAACCAATTTAATACACCAATTCGACACCTTTGATTTTGTATAAATAATCATCAAGTGAACTATAAAAGACCAGTATTTACAATAATAAAATTATACTAAACGAAAGTGTAACGGTCATTCAGCGTGCGGTGAAACTTACCTCCTTTCCGTCGGCGAATCGATATCGCACCCACTTGTTGAGCTTCGGACGCCAGTACTCCAACACGTACGCCTCCGCATACTCCTGACCCTGGCCGTTGCCAAAGCGGCCCTGGGTGCCGGTGCCAGTAATCACGTGCACCGAATGCAAGTCGATCTCTAGCCACTCAGTTGATTCGGTCGTAATCTGAGACTTGGGACACCACGCGCCCCCCTTTATCTCTTGATTTAATCTGTAAACGATTCAGGTTTCAGAACCCACAGCAGGCAACGTCTAGAACTAACCAAAACACCCAGTAAAACAACAACTGATCTAAAATATACTTTCTGATTAGATTATTTTGAGGGTAGAGTACATCGTATCTGGCGCAGTTCTTAGTCATAATTTGTTACTTATTGTATTACAGAATTGATGTCGAGCGATGACCGCCTCCAGTTTCTGCGAACTGTAGATAAGCAATACAGCTTGGAGACTAATACCAAGAGCTTACAGCCGCGTGAAGGCAGTGTCAGCGGCGGTCGCGTCATGTTCCAATCAGAGTTAATAATAGTGTTTCGGCGTGGTGTTTATTAGCGCATTCACATATCATGTGTCACGACGACGCTGCGGGGAGCGATCGTTCCGACCAATCAAACCTGGTTTGTCGTCCATTAAGACTTATTGACGCGCTCCAAGTGTTACTATCAATGAGCTGTGCACATTTCATAATTGATATCATACGCGCCTTGCTGCGCACCATTGCTAACGTAATTCATTATTCCATTTATCATGGGAACTGGGACTGCGTGACAGTCTGTTTTAATTATTTTAAATTTCCCGAATAATGTATTAATACACTTTCTTTCTATGTTTACTGCATCGCCACTCAAAAGGCGTAATTAGGTATGTTTCCGTTACCTACACCCTCAAAAATTTGTTGCAATAATAAATAAAAATTACACAAGGAATTTTCAGGTTCTGTCTGCAACAGTATCAAAGGATTATTATGTTTTGTTTAGACTATTAAATATTTCCTGTACTGTCGCCATCTGCATACTCTTGATATTAAAATTAAATTCGATACAAAATTTTTAAGTAGTTTACCTAAACTGCGTCGGAAAACGTTACGAAATGAAGAGCAGTTGCTGTGACATGGATACCATAATGTCTAATATTGATCAGGATAATAAAAACCATTATTTCATGGGACAACGGCTCCATATCGATATCAACTGTGCTGTCACGAATGTGGGCACGCGATGAACATCAAAAGTGACAAAGTGACTTGGGTTATTAAATACAAATTGCGGTATAATTATGTGTATCTTTGAAAGCCGTATCCACTAACTAATAATAGATATTTTGGAAAGGTAATGTTGACTTTGATTGGAGCCGCCCTTTTGATGAATATGCTTTATTTCGATATGGGTAAATTAGATATTAATTTTATTCATGACCAATGATTCAACAATTTCAGATAAACCTTAATCATATTTAAACATACCTTCTTTATGGTCTTCGTTGATTTATTTATACTATATAGAGATACGAAAGAAGACTTCCTATTAGGGTTAACGTAATATGTAGACTTTGAAGTATATCAATACTCCGTATCAAAAGTTATGGTATGCTTCCATTGGTGATTAAAAATAGTTAATAAAAAATACCTTCCGTTCTGTGGTCCCACGTTGCCGTCGTTGAAGGACGAACTTGCAGTGAGGTCCTTGTCGGGAATGAGTCCACTCTCCATGCCCAACGGCGCGATGCATTGAGCTGCAGACAAAAAGAGCAAATTCAAATATTGCCCGGGTTCGATCGATGGCCCCAACCTAAATTAATACTACGGCTAGCTGTTGCCCTGTATTGCACATGAAAGCCAGTTCAAAGCGGTCGTCTGGAATAAAGAACAAAACATGTTAATTCTTAAAATATTGAATGACTTCTAAAAACGATAGTCATCCGGTCATGAAACCTACACCGAAAGACGGCGAAACTAGTAATATTCTGTATAATACTCCTATTTCTCACAAAAGGAACAATTGCATTACAAATGGCATCAATCACATATGGTGCTGGTTCATGAAAAATGTAAAATAGCACTAAATTACATAATCATAAGGAAAGTTGACAGGCGAATTTCTTATCGAGAATGTACAGTCGTTAACAGAGCATTGTTCCATATTATTTGTTGGTTTAGGATACACCTTTGTAGAAAGTCGGGGTTGATATGCAACAAAGGAACGACGCGTTACGGCTATAAGCGTTTTATAGACGTTCTCCAGCAATTTTGTCACTAATTGCATGCGACTGCAAGTGGTTGTTAGTCGAAACTATCGCCTGATGTAGTTGATGGAGGCTAATGCAGGCTAGTATTTAACAATTTAAGAATGCAATGTTCGACTATAACGGGTGATGTATTTTGAAATTTGTATCTTGGGAAGAAACGTCAAATGAGTTTCAACACGAACATCAGATTTTATGATTTCCAATTATTATTTTTATCAACAAAAATATCGAACTTTTATCAACACGGCTATGGAGTAATGCACTATATTATAAAAAAAATGTAAGTACTCTATTGTTCAATAATTTATAATGTTAATATACTACTTGAGGTGACTTATTGGTAAAATACAACAAATAAATTTGCGTGTGATACCTACTTTGTACAGCAAACAAGCTGTATAAAAAATATGTCGCGTTATTTAATTAGGTGCCATGTTGATAACTCCGACGACGCACCGTCGCGGAAGTGGTCGTCGAGAGCCGACTCAGGGGACCGTGAACTCAAGTATCTTTGTCATACTAGCTTTGAGGCTGGCCGACTGAACGAACGCAACGAACTCCATTTTGAAGTTACTTTTTTATAAGTAGAACTGGAAATTAAATATTAAATTATGATTGAAAAAAAACGTGATTATATAAAAAAAATAGATTCATTTTCAATGCGTATAACGATCGCGAAAACCTAGGAACTCAATATATAAATAGAATTATTAAAATATTGTACCTATATAAGAATTCACGTAGTTTTTGCCTGTTTACGTCTAACTTTTATGTTGGAAATAAGGACGTACCATCATAGTAATTTGATACGTCACTACCTGCTTAGCGTGTTTAAATACTGTGTGGACAATGTTAACATTAATTAAAATAAATAAAATACAAAAATCTGTTTTCCAACCACACACAGAGAACAATAAAGAATGGAAGCACGCGGCGTGAAATATCTTACAATTAACGCGCGCAATGGCTGGGTAGCTAACATTAGCTAAACGAAGAGAACACAAGGGTCCTTAATTATGTATGTAGGTATGTAAATCATGATAACACGACCTTTTTGAAACGTGCCTACAGCATTTGATTTGATGATGATGATTGAATTTTAAATAAGAAACACTATGCGAGTGGTGTCAATTTGATTATATTTACAATAACTCGCGCGAAATGGAAATTACATTTTTGCAGATTAAAACCAACCGTCTAACAATATTTATTCAAAGAATTCAACCACATAAAACATTATTACAAAGAACAGAAGTCTATTAAATAACTATCTTAATTTATATTCATTGTACCGTGGTACCGTGTTGTCGTGGACTATACATACATATACACACACCGGCACATTTAGCAGAACACTAGTTAAATCCCCAAACTAATGCTTATTTTTCGGAAGTTTGCTCGGTTAGCTTATTTTTTTTATTTTAGGTCTCAAGGTAAAAAAAAGGTAAACAAAATGTTGACTGTCTTTTAATTTCCTACTAATACAGGTGTCGAATGGTTCGAGGTTGACTTTACGCTCTTGTAAATTTTCTGAACATAGTCGAAAAAGTTTTGCATTTGTTAAAATTTGATTTTATCAATATTAAACGTGATTAAACTGTCACCATTTTCGAATGTTCGGCGGTTTGTGCTTTCACACAATCTAAACAAAATGCATTTTGTTTAATTTCGACTTTTTTCAATAAAGGTTGATACAGCCTTACGGCGGTACTGTAGACGAGGCTGTACTCTATGAGTAATCTGCTGGCTGAACATAGATAATAATTATAGTTTTTGTATTTGGAACGCTAAGAAAACAAGGAAAGGTCTTGACATATATATTAAGATTATTGTTTCGTAACCCTACGCCAAAACATGTAAATTGGTAAAATAAACCAAAGTTTTAAAATGATCCCGGTTTTATATTATTAAAAGTACCTCTCGCAATGCGTCTGAGCTACAGCCCTCGATTATAAATGGTGGAGGCACGAACGCCGTTGGAAAATATTTTTATATGTTTTTACGAAGAAGAAATATAATGTAATTGAAGCCTGCAAATGTTAGACGCAAGCTTACGAATGACGAAAGGATTCCGATGAAGAAAAGTCCATCGTGAAATATTTTTATATGTTGTTATGACACGACTTCCAGGAAAGCGTAACAGAAGGTCGTAATTTATATTTATACTTATTTAATATAGTTTTATAATTGGTGCCAGTAAAAAGTGCGAGAAGAAATATGTATGGTATGTCGGCACATAGATTTAATGGGTTCAACGACGTAGATGAGTTTTTGAACCAATTTGAGACCATTAGCATATTAAATAATTGGTCTGATGTGCAGAAGAAATACGTGTTTGCATTGTATTTGGAGGGGCCAGCTCTGCAATGGTACAAAACGTATTCTTCTTCATACGTGTCGTATGATGTGATTGCACAGAGGTTGAGAGAGGAATTTCCCTCACAAATTGATTACGCCCGAGAATTTTATTATAGGCGGCAGGGGCATAGTGAATCGCTGATAAGTTATTTTTATAGTTTAAATGAGTTAGCGATGAAAGCAAATATTCAAGATGTTCAGTTTATTAAGCATTTTTTGAAGTCTTTGTTACCCAATTTTAAATGGATGCTGGCTAGCAATTTGTATGTATCGAAAGAGGAGTTAAGGAAAACAATTATCCAAGTAGATGATGTATTTAATCACAGCTATAATGTGAGACAAGATATTGAATTGCCAGTGAATTGTAATATGGAGCCTTCTTGCTGTTGGCAAACACAGGATGTCTCTGCACCGATAATTAGACCCGAGTCTAAACAGTCGGAATATTTAGTGCCACGAGCACCAATCGTGCAGCAGGATACGCCAAGTCAAGGGTATTCACGAGCACATAGTAGTGGATCTTCGTCGGGATCTCCTCAACGTGATTGTCAGAAAAGCGCAACTGAACATGTAGAAAATTTGTCTACAATTGATAGTTCTAGCGTAGATAGGGCACCTTTTATATCTGTTTTTATTAATGATGTGAGTTGCGAGGCGTTGGTGGATACTAATGCTTCAGTTTCAGTAATTTCTCGGTATTTTGCGGAAAGGTTGCAATTGCGTATCGATGATAATCCAAGTTTTCCATTACGTACAGTGGGTGCAACGCCAATAAATGTGCAGTCGTCCACCAAGGTGTCGTTGATGATTAATGGGAAGGATTATCCTTCGAAGTTGCTGGTTGTAGACGATCTTGAAAAATATTTGGTTCTGGGTCGAGATGTTTTGGAAAAGTGTAATTACGAGTTGTCAAAAGTGGAAGTTGACAATAAAATTTCTTTTTCTAAGTCCATGACAGATATTGGACCAAAGAAAGAAAAGTCTCCTTTGAAACCGATATCAAAAAGTTTAGATAGCTTCTCGGTTTTGCCAGAAATGACGAGTAATGTTGACGTGGGTGATAAGACGTGTCAATTGCGTCAACAATGTGATTTAAATAAAAATAATTATAAAAATGCTTTGCCGAAAATATATATAAAATACAATTCGAAAAGCGACATTTCTAATCGTGTTCGCGTAAGTAATGTGGCGAATCTGCGAAGTGACTACGTAAAACGAGCAGCTTCGATGAGTTCTCGTAAGGAATGTATAGATAGTTTACAATCGCATCGGAAGCGAATGTTTGACAAGAAAGACAGGATTGCTTTATCTAAGAGATATGATACGCGAAGGTTAGGGTAGTGAATTGGTTGAGTAGGATTAATTGTATTATGTGCAGATTAGGTATGAATAGGAAAAGGTTGTGTAGGCAGAATCTACTCCATGTGAATAGGATGAAAAAGTTCTATATGAGGGAATTTAATGTGTTTGTTTCTACTAGGTTAATTAATTTTTTATATTTATTTTTCATGTGGAACACTGACGAACATTGACGTTATGAGAAATATTTGGAGAAAAATTAATATTTTCCTGTACATGCAGACTTGGAAGGAAAGGAGGAGAAGATACACCATCATATAGATAAAATTTACTTTTGTTTTCCTTTTTCAATTTGATAGATATATTATCCTGTATGTGCGAATAGTTCATGCTCATCCTCCAGTTGATCAAGGACTGTCTGCATTCTGGGAAAATATATTTATTTAATTATTAGAAATTCTTCATGTGGTATACCCTCATACCATATATGGCTTGGAATATGTAGTTAGAATGTGTTGTTGACGTTGTATGTGGGTTGGCTTTTGTTTGGTTAAAGATAGCAAGTGAAGCTGATGGAACGTGATAGCTGTAAAATGAGGACTAAGGCAGCTGGGAGATCAATAGTGATGTAACCCAGTGATCGTCCGATGGATGTTCGAGCCTGTGTCGTCGTTGTAGCAGCATCCACGTTGGAGATAGCTTAAGCTGAGATAGTTAGGAACTTGTAGTGATGTTTAGAATTTTTATTAGGGTCGTTCAGCCAGTTTAGGGTCGATAAAATAAAGTGTTAGGGTTTAGTCAGGTTCCCTAATTAGCTAGGATAGCTAACG